TTTCATAAAGCAGAAAATGCAAGAAGAAATAGGAATGTTAATAACAGGTGAGACACATCACTTTCAGTCCAAGACTCATCAAAGGGTCAAAAATAACAGAAAACCTAAACAACATGAACTATAAGCTGCATTTCCTGCACACATATCAAAATTTGTACCCCAATAGGGAACATACATTTCAAACGCACATCATGAAAAACGACCACCTATTAGGGCAAAAGAAAGCCTCACAGCGGCTTTCGAGGATATGAGCTTTTATGATCACTCTCTTTCTAACCACAACGTTTCACTGAGTGGTTTCAATGCAATAAAGAATGTAGGAAGTTTGAAAACTAAAAAGCACCAAGCGAGTATTAGATACTGTCAATACTGTTACTATCATTATTCACTGTTTGATGAACATTTTACTTGCTCTCTGATTCTAACGTATTCTAGAGAAGTTGGCCAAACAGGTGGGGGATTAATTATGTAATCTTTTTTTTTTTTTTTCTTTTTGAGATGGAGTTTCGCTCTTGTTACCCAGGCTGGAGTACAATGGCGCGATCTCGGCTCACCGCAACCTCCACCTCCTGGGTTCAGGCAATTCTCCTGCCTCAGCCTCCTGAGTAGCTGGGATTACAGGCACGCGCCACCATGCCCAGCTAATTTTTGTATTTTTAGTAGAGACAGGGTTTCACCATGTTGACCAGGATGGTCTTGATCTCTTGACCTTGTGATCCACCCGCCTCGGCCACCCAAAGTGCTGGGATTACAGGCGTGAGTCACCGCGCCCGGCCCTAATTATGTAATCTTTACTGTCTTCATAAGAGCTACTATTTCTTTGGTGTTTACAATGTGCCAGTTACTATGCTGTTTTACACGCAGTCATTTATTAGTAACTTGCTATTTGTTTTATGAAAGCAAGGCTTCTGTGCCTCTCACATCACCGCCGAGGTCCACAACAGTGCAAGGTCTCTTTTGAGTAAGTGTTCACTGAACATGAGCACTGATTAAGGACCTACTTCATAGTCAGATGTGGGTCTGAAGTTTCATTCTAGCACAGGCAGTCATCTGTGTGACCTTGGGCCACATAGGAAATATCCCTTCTGAACCTCAATTTTTTTCACAGAAAAACACAGATAATCATTAACACCTCCAGTAACAAGGATTGTTCAGAAGTTTCAATGTAGTAACACGTGTAGAGGGTCTACCATGGAACCTGGTTACCGTAGGCATTTAATAAATGTTAGTCTGAGGTTGAAGGAGAAAGAGCAGACCTTATTAGATAATCTTAGAATAGGGGCCTTTTTTCTTAAAAAAAAAAAAAAAATCTTCAAATACAAACATCCTCCACTGTATGTGAAATAATTTTTAAATAGTGTCATAGGGCAATAGCAAAATAAGTTATGATAGATCCATATTATGGAATCCTGCATCACAATGAAAGAATAAATTGATGTATACACATGGACAGATGACCATGCTTGTTTTGTGGGGAAGAAAAAAAGCAAACATCAGAATATGAATAGTTCCCCTCTCTCCATTTAAAAAATTATATGGCCAGGCACAGTGGCTCACACAATCCCAACACTTTGGAAGGCTGAGGCAGGCGGATCACCTGAGATCAGGAGTTCAAAACCAGCCTGGCCAAGATGGTGAAATCCCATCTCTAGTTTAAAAAACACAAAACTTAGCCAGGCGTGGTGGCAGGTGCCTGTAATCCCAGCTACTCGGGAGGCTGAGGCAGGGAAAGTTGCTTGAACCTGGGAGGCAGAGGTTGCAGTGAGCCGAGATCATACCATTGCACTCCAGCCTCGGCGACAGAGCAAGACTCTGTCTTCAAAAAAATAAATAAATAAATAAAGTTGTAGATGGCCAGGCACAGTGGTTCACACTTGTAATCCCAGCGCTTTGGGAGGCTGAGGCAGAAGGATTGCTTGAGGCCAGGTGTTTTGAGACCAGCCTAGGCAACAAAGCAAAAAAAAAAAAAAAAAAAAAAAGCCAGGAGTGGTGGTGCATATGGTGCATACCTGCAGTCCCAGCTACTTAGGAGGCTGAGGTGGGAGAATTGCTTGAGCCAAGGAGTTCAAGGCTGCAGTGAGCTATGATTGTGCCGCTGCACGATGGTGAGAGTAAGACACTGTCTCAAAAGCCAAACAAAACAAAACACACACACACACAGAGAAAGTTCTGGAAGGATATATAATTTTTTTTTTTTTTTTGAGTCGGAGTTTCGCTCTTGTTACCCAGGCTGGAGTGCAATGGCGCGATCTCGGCTCACCGCAACCTCCGCCTCCTGGGTTCAGGCAATTCTCCTGCCCCAGCCTCCTGAGTAGCTGGGATTACAGGCACGTGCCACCATGCCCAGCTAATTTTTTTTATTTTTAGTAGAGACGGGGTTTCACCATGTTGACCAGGATGGTCTCGATCTCTTGACCTCGTGATCCACCCGCCTCGGCCACCCAAAGTGCTGGGATTACAGGCTTGAGCCACCGCGCCCGGCCTATATATCTAATTTTAAAGGCAAGTAGGATTGGTGGACTGGCGAGAAGTTTTTTTTTAACTTTTTACATTCATTTATTTTGTAATTTCCAACACACACACACGAAAAAAAATTCTCAAATTCTCTTTGGCCTGAATATTTCATGGGGCTTTAAAAGCTGTTAAACTGAATAGAAAAGGTGGTTAATTCTGGCAAGTGTGAGAATTTCCATACCCAGCGTTTCTTTTTGAGAGGGACTGTAGGAGAGAAGAAGTGGAGAATGAATCGCTCCAGCATTACTCATTACTCAGCACATCCAAACAGGTAGTTTCATTCCTGTCCCTGTCACCACTGCAGCCCTGATACACAAAGTAACAGAGAACCTCTTTGATAAATGTCAAATGAAATTGAGTAATCAGCTGACAGCCATTTGCTGAGCTGTCTGACTGCCCTGGGCTCGAGGTTTTCCTTTATTCATTTATCATGATACAGCTTTGGCCAACATACACACAGGAGAGAAATTGTTGACATGTGGAACCCAAGTACAGAAAATCTTTCATTTTCCTCCCTGTCTGTTCACCAAATAAGTTTTTGTTTATTTAAAGACTACAGAGGATTTGGCTGTTAAGAACCAAATGCCTTTGGAGTGGAGTTACAACATAATTTATCATTTCCTCTGTTTATTAAAAAATCCTGCATCTTTGAGAAGTACATTTGCAGTGAGTGGGGGATTTCGGCCACTCATGAAAGACTGTTGCAAAGCCCCTGTCATGTGGCTTACCCCAAAAGAGGCTCCTTAATTGCTATATCTAGCCCTGCCCTCCCCCCAGCTGACTTCTGATCGTGTGATGACCACTTAGGGCTGGTGAATGGGTTTGGAGGACACCTAAGTGGTGCAGGAGACTGAGCTAGTTTAACTTTGACCCAATTCTGACCTTGAATCCTCACTGCATGTTTCACCAGTATAAGTGAAAGGGGAAGTGCAATCCTTTTTTTTTTTTTTTGAGTCGGAGTTTCGCTCTTGTTACCCAGGCTGGAGTGCAATGGCGCGATCTCGGCTCACCGCAACCTCCGCCTCCTGGGTTCAGGCAATTCTCCTGCCTCAGCCTCCTGAGTAGCTGGGATTACAGGCACACGCCACCATGCCCAGCTAATTTTTTGTATTTTTAGTAGAGACAGGGTTTCACCATTTTGACCAGGATGGTCTCGATCTCTTGACCTCGTGATCCACCCACCTCGGCCTCCCAAAGTGCTGGGATTACAGGCGTGAGCCACCGCGCCCGGCGTGCAATCCTTATTCCCTCCAGGACAGGAGAGAGTCTGGAGGAAGTCAAAGAGCAAAGAGAAGTCGGATGCTGCTTTGAAAGAACTCAGCCAGGCCTTGCCACCACCAAAGTGGGCTCCATTCTGAATGCAGATCCCTTGCAGAACTGGAATGAACTTCCTTTTTCACCCAAGAGATTATTATAGATGGCAATTTAGTTTAGTGCACTATGTACCCCTCAAAAACAGGGGTCATATCTTACCCATTTTTGTATTGCCAGTACCTGACAAACAGTTGGTACTCACTAAATGCTAATAAGGCAGCAGGATACAGTGGTTACTTCCAGGTTGGTGAGGTGCTGAGAGAGTGTGAGCCCCGAGAGGGTAAGGAAGCTCTACACCCTCTCCTTAAACCTTGCCCTAAGTACCTCCTTTATTGGGCTGTTCATCTGTATCTTTTACAGTAAGCCAGTAAACAGGTTTCCCCGAGTTCTGTGAGCTGTCCTAGGAAATTAATTGAACCCAAGGAAGTCAAGGACTCCAGTTTGTAGTTGCTCAGTCAGGAGTATGGGTGGCCCAGACTCGTGACTGGCATGGAAAGTGCTGGCAGTCTCGGGAGGTGGAGCCCTCAACCTGTGGGATCTGCCACTATTTCCAGGTAATCTCAGAACTGAATTGAATTACAGGATATCCAGTTGGTGCCTGCTGGAGAATTGCTTGGTGTGTGGGGGAAGCAACCCCACACCCCTGGTCAGAGAAGTGTTTCATGTTGAGTGTGAGAGTAAAAAGGAAAAAAAGTTGGATTTCAAGACCAGCCTGGCCAACACAGTGAAGCCCCATTTCAACTAAAAATACAAAAATCAGCTGGGCATGGTAGCACATGCCTGTAATCCCAGCTACTCAGGAGGCTGAGGCAGGACAATCACTTGAACCCAGGAGGGGGAGGTTGTGGTGAGCTGAGATCGCGCCACTGCACTCTAGCCTGGGCAACAGAGAGAGACTCTGTCTCAAAAAACAAACAAACAAAAAAAAACCACTATACCTAACTCATAATGGCTAAATTAGGAAGGAATGAATGAATGAATAAAAAAATAATTGGAGGAAAAAAAACTCTTTTAACAACCCAGTATCCGAAGATAAGCCACTTAGCCACTTGTCCGTCAACAATGGGCAGGCACTGGGGGAAAGGTGTCTCACAACCAAGTAAATGTTGAGGACAAGTACAAGATTGGAAAATGAAAGACAGTGTTAAGACCAGAAAGAAAAGAAGTCAGCATTTGCTGGGTAGCTACTATGTGCAATTTATTCACAATTCAACATATGACTGCCTACTATACTCCAGGCATTATGCAAAGTTCTGAGGATATGCAGGCTAATTAGCAAAAAGAATACTTAAGAGTTCATATAAAGCAGTACACTGTGCTATGAGAGCCAGTAATGAGGGTCCTAGGTCAGAGGGGAAAGCAAGACTTCCAGAGGATGTGCTATCCAAGACAAGGCCTGAAGATAAACAGGACTGGCCAGGTAAGGAGGGGAAGAGCGATGCCGGCAGAGAAAAGAGCATGTATGAAGATGACTCATAGGCAAAACTACTTCTTCTGGGTGCTTCACATACAGATTCTTAGTGATCATCAATCCAGACCAACTCTATTCCTCTCCTTTGTGGCTTATTCTTTCCGATTTATTTAGATTTTATTTTTTGGTGAAAATGGGCCTCTAGTAAGTGCCCAGTCACAGGTGACAGCCAACATCAGCCCAAACAGAGTTTTAAAATGGGAACAGAGCCTGTTTGAAAAGGAGGCTCCTAAAATGAGGAGCAGGTGGGATGAAGCCTGCCAATGGCCTCAGTCCCTTGGCGACATCAAGTCAAAGCAAATGCCTGAGTAAAGGCCCTTTGCCAGCAGCAAATCTTTTCTGAGAGCCACCCATGCCAGAAGGCCCAGAGCAGAGGGAGGAAGAGAATGAACAAGTCTGAGTGTTCCACTGGAAGACTGAGCCTCACAAGGACAGCCTTCTGTCAGCATAGTCACAGCCTTCTGTGTGGATCGGGGAGGGAGAGAGGTGCCAATGTGCCACCCATGGGATCCACCAGAAACTGGGCTCTGGAGTATTGCTGGCCCCCAGTAGACTTTCATCCAAGGAGTTCTTTGGTCTTCACTGCCAGATGCCTCTCCAGCTCTGCCACTGTGTCATCAGCCATTTGGCTGATCTGTAAATACACAAAATGAGACAGCCCGATTAATTGGCGCTGGAAAAGGGTAGGGGGATGAATATTCCAGAAACATGAAAAGGTTATATGAGAAATAATAATAGTGACAAAGTTCACATTAAGTACTAGCCAGGTACTGTTCTAAGAACTTTATTTTACATTATTTTTAACTCAAACAGCAAACCAATGAGATAGAAACTATTATTATCCCCATTTTGCATATAAAAAAACTGAGGCATTTAAATCACTTCTTCAGGACACATAGCTAGAAGGCGGGAATGTCAAAATTTAATCCACAAAATTTAAGCTTCAGATTCCACAGCCCCAAATTCTTAACTATTATTCTACAATATAGAGAAGCTAGTCTTATCTGTTCCTTAATGAGCCTCTAGAATTTCCTACACCTCCAACACTTTGTATATAAAGCCCTCATACAAATTGATAAGAATATTAAAATCCCAATAGTCAAGAAAAAAAAAAAAAAGCCTTGAACAAAAATGAGGTACATCTAGTTAACAAACATGGAAAACAGACATCAAAGAAATGCAAATTAAAACAAGATACAATTCAGCTATCATAGCAAAATTCGATGTTGTGGTTTTTAATTACAATATTCAATGCCACCAAGCTATGATGAAATGGATAAGCTCATATATCACTGACAGAAATTCAAATTGATGCAAATATTTGTACCATTTAACCCAAAATCTCTCAACTGGGAAATTATCACATGAACATGATCTGAAAAAATTTTCTGAAGCTCTATACACAAAGATATTTATCCCAGCTTTATATTTAATAATACAAAAATTAGAAAATCTAAAGTTATAGAATGGGGAAGTAGTTGAATATATATAGTCATTAAAAATGGTTAGATTTTCTACTTCTCAAGGATAGGGTGTTAATATGAATAACATTTCAGTACATATCATGGAAAGATGCTCACATTATCCTTGAATTGAAGAAAAGCAGGACACAAAATTGTGTATATACATAGTAGAAATGAACTCTAAAATATGTAAAGAAAAAATTGTATATTTTTAAAAATGGAAGGAAACCTGTCAAAATATTAATAGTGGCTATATTTTGGTGATGAGAAGACAGGTAAGGTATTGTTCATGTTCATCTCTGTCACATCCAGCCTGGTACCTAACACATATCAAGTTTTCAGGAAAAATGCACTAAGTGAAAAATTATTAAAGTTTTCTGTGCTCTTCTATAATTTTTGCAATAAACATGTACTCCCTCTAAGAATGAAAAACAAAAAATACAATTTAGTGGCTGCTGCAGCCTCCTCTCCCTATGTCTAAAAGAGACTGAAAGCAGGAAGCCTGAGGCAGAAGGCTTTGAGGGCTGCAGCATGGTGCCAACGATCTGCACGCTCAGCAGCATAGCGGCTGCTGGACATCTTTATTTGCAGACCACAGGCCTTGGCTAGAGATTGAGAACTAAATGCACTAAAAAGGGTAGAAACTAAAAAGGATTTAGAGCAATTGGTCCCAGGCAGGGAAGTGGCCAAGCTCTCGCCATAGCAACAGCTGTGCATTTTTTCAGCTGGAAAAGCAAGTACCTGGGGGCTGCCAGACACTCTGGAAAAGTGGCTGGACTCAGAATGGCAGCTTGGTCCCTCCTCACTCAGCCAGCCGCAAAGTCTTGAGATGCTTTTGCCCCCTGTGGCTGCCTTGCATGGGGTGTGGCGTGGTGCCCAGCAGCACTCCAACACCTGGAGGCTGGCAGCCTGGGATAGCCAGGAATGATGGCTTGCCAGCATCCTCTGGAAAAATGGCTTTGAGGGTAGTTTGGGGACAGGGATGGGGACTGGGAAGAGGGAGAGTACTTAGGGTAACAATTTGATAACATGGATTCTGGATGAAATTAATGGGGTAAAAATGTGTAGGTCATTTTCCCACTTTGATTCTCAGTTTCCTCATCTAGCAAATGACTATACAAGCATATTTTAAACTGGTTATTGCTATGCAAATATTGGCTGTGTTACCATAACTTTGAATATCACTTCCTGATTTATTTCCAGTTAATCAATTAATGAAAATAGGGAAGATGTGGTGGCTCACACCTGTAATCCCAGCACTCTGGGAGGCTGAGGTAGGAGGATCACTTGAGCCCAGGAGTTTGAGACTAGCCTGGGCAACATGGGGAAACCCCATCTCTACAAAAAACACAAAAAATTGGCTGGGCATGGTGGTGCATGCCTGTGGTTCTGGCTACTCAGGAAGCTGAGATGGGAGGATAGCTTGAGCCCAGGAAGTGGAGGACGCAGTGAGCTGAAATGGTGCCACTGCACTCCCACCTGGGCAACAGAGAATCTCTCTCAAAAAAAAAAAAATTAATGAAAATATTTACTAGCATTTTACCATAGTACAAGCACAAGGTGCCCTTGGGGACAGTCGGCCTGTAAGTTCATCTTTTCCATCTTTATCAGGTGTCTTAAAATAATGATTAATAGCAACAAGGCCAACAACAGCTTCCACTCACCGAGTACTTACACATCAGACACTTGGCTAAAACTTTACATGCATTACTGCACATAATCCCTACAACATAGGAAATACTATTATCTCTCTTTACTGTATAATGAACATTATTTTACTTGACAGATGCATAGTAGGAATGCAAAAGTGTTTTATCTTCTGTTACTTCATTCAAATCCAACAACCTCACATAACCTCTATAAAGCAAGTAGAATAGGTATTATCCCCATTTTACAGAGCAGTAAGTCAAAGCACGGAATGTTGACTGATCTGTTCAAGATCACATAAAAAGTCAGTGGTGTGGCTGAGCCAAGAACTCACCCACCTTAATGGCCAGTTTGAGGTTTTTATTCCCTTTTGGAGGGGTCCATAGCACCTGGCCTAGTCCTTCCTCATTCCAGGCAAACTGTGTTAGGAACATTAAGAGTCAATCCAAGTTCTACATTTAAAGTCACAAGATTGGGGAAAAGAGAAGGATAAAGAAATAGGGCAAACAATTACTGAGGACCAGCAACCACACTAGCCACTTTTAAGTATGTGGCTTCATTTGGTGCTCGTATCAATCCTGTGCTCCCACTTTGTGGACGAAGAAACAGAAGCTCAGAGAGATGACACCATTTGCTGGCGTTAACAGCTAAGACGTAAAAGAGCTAGGATTTTAATCCAGGCCTGTCTGACTCCAAAGCAAGAACCCTTTCTAATATAATACACAACCTCATAGAGATTATAACATCGTCATCATCGTTGTTATCATCGTCATATTTGCTACTTACAAGTTCAGGAAAATGAAAGGCAGGGACAGAGGAGGGGAATGGCAGGAGCACAGAGTACACTCCTGGGGCAGGCCTGCCTACCAGCCATCCTTCCTGAAGCTTGGCTCAAAACACCCACTGCCTTGCCTGGATCAGCCTCCCTGCCTGCCACCCATCTGCCAGGAGCCTTCCCCTCCTTTAGCTCTGCTAGCACCCAGCTTTGCTCATTTCAGAGCAGTTCTGTTTCTCAGAGAGAGGCAGCAGTGAAAGGATCTTGGCCAGAGTTACTGGTGGTTTCTGCCAAGTGCTTTAATGTTCACCAGGCCATTTATAGCAAACCAAAGCAAAGGTGAAACAGCAGGCTGGCAGATGTCAGAGTCCTGAGCAGGAAGACCTCGGTCCTTCCTCAGCAGGGCTTGCCTGGAATAGGGATTGGGAGGTATGTGGGGGGCAGACAGTTGAGGAAATTTAGAAGTCAAACATGACTACATGGATAGAACCTACAAATGAATCATTTCATTCTATACGCCAAAAATTAAAGAAGCATTTCTATAATAAAGCTTTAGAAAATCTGACCTCAAAAGATTTTTGAAAAATTAAAAAAGATAATCTCACGTAAAATAAAATGTTTATAATCCTATCACCTGAAATGACCCCCTTTAATATTTTGACATGTATAAATTGCCAACCCCATGTACATATGACTTTTCTTTATAAAACTAAAATCACACTGCTATATAATCCACCTTTTAAAAACAAATTCCAAAAAAATTTACCATGTCTATAAAATAATCGTATAACTTTTTATATAGATTCTAATGAATGTAAACAACTTACTTCCCACAGTCAGAAATTTAGACAGTTTCCAGTTTCCTACTACTATATATATCAATGAACATTCCTATAGATAAGGTTCTTGATTATTTATTTTGGGCAAATTCCTAAGTCACTAAATCAGAAATGTATAGATTTTGGTATATATTATTCTCTAGAAAGGTTGTATGGATTTATACAAAGAACAGCAATCTTTTCTGTAGAATGGGAAAGTAAAAGCAACACTTCCCAGATAAGCAACATTTTCAGCTCAGATAAAAAATTCTAGGTTCAAGTGTTAGGGGTTACAAAAGGCAAATTAAAAAAAAAAATATACACACACACACACACACACACACACACACACACACACACACACATATTCATATATTCTAGAAACACTGTAGTCTGTACCAAGAATCTTATAAAAAATATGCATTTCCTTTGTACAGTAATTCCACAAAGAAATCATCTCAACATAGATTTATACATAAAGATATTCACTGCAACCCATGATGACACTCACAGGGAGCCACTGTTCACTGCCACTTGGAAGAGGTCATTGCTAACATCACGGGTGTAACACTTTGAACAATAGAGAGATGCACAAACAGTTGAACTTAGAAGTAGCAGTATTGGTTTTATCTAATAAAGGAAGCGTTTTTGACTTAAAAAAAAAAAAAAAAAAAAACTAACTAAAATGTCCCAAAAGAGAGCTTATGAAAGTGAATACCACAACACCAACTATTTAGCAGCCATTAGAGTTTTACAGAGTTTTTCAAGACACAAAAAATGCTAATGCCTTTGAGGACAAACAGAAAATAAAAAGCTGAATACAAAATTGTATATATACTATATGTTCTCAATCATGTTTAAAACTATGCAGTTTTTTTTTTTTTTTTAAAGGAAAAAAGAAATATTCCAAAATATTAAGAATGGTTGCCTCATGGGGAGGGAAAAGAAAAAAAAAAAGAATCGTTGCCTCTCCAATGTGGAATGGTAGGATGATTTTTTCTCCATTGTTTTAAACAGTCTTCTGTACTCTACATTTTCTGCAATGAACATATATATTACTTTGGTAATAAGGAACAAAAGTAAACAAAATTTTAAAATGGATGAAGCAACAATCAGCCATAGCCTTCTTTTATATCTTTAAAACATACACACACACCCCCAAAATTCCAGTTTGGTGCCTTCTAACAGCAGAAAGAACACCATGAAGTGTATATAAGGCTCTCCCCTATTCCAAACTTTTAACTGTATGACAGTAAATGAAGTTATTAACAATCCTGGTTAGGAATAAACATTTAGCCAGGTGCAATGGCTCATGCCCATAATCCCAGCACTTTGGGAGGCTGAGGTGAACAGCTAATCTAAGGTCAGGAATTCAAGACCAGCTTGGCCAACATGGTGAAACGCCATCTCTATTAAAAATACAAAAATTAGCTGGGCATGGTGGCACATGCCTGTAATCCCAACAGGAGAATCACTTGAATCCAGGAAGTGGAGGTTGCAGTGAGCTGAGATCACACCACTGCACTCCAGCCTGCGTGACAAAAAAAAAAAAAAGAATAAACATTTAAATAGTATTATCTTTAGAAAGGTATATATGATATATTGTGTCATATAAATAGTATGACACTTTTTCTTGTTTCGAGAGATAACTTGAAGTTCTACACTAAAATGTTAATAGTCATCTCTGAGTGATGAGATTTCAATTACTTTATTTTTTTTTTGACAGCAAAATGAATACAGGTATTTGTACTTAAAAAAAAAATTAACAGTAAGAAGCACTAAAGGAAAAAAATCTAATCTGGCTGGGCGCAGAGGCTCACACCTGTAATCCCAGCACTTTGGGAGGCTGAGGTGGGCAGGTCACCTGAGGTCAGGAGTTGAAGGCCAGTCTGACCAACATGGAGAAACCCCACCTCTACTAAAAACACAAAAAATTAGCTGGCTGTGGTGATGCATGCCTATAATCTCAGCTACTTAGGAGGCTGAGGAAAGAGAATCACTTGAATCTGAGAGGTGTACGTTGTGGTGAGCTGAGATCAAAGCATTGCACTGCAGACCGGGCAACAAGAGGGAAACGAACAAATGAATGAATGAACAAAAGAGAGAGAGAGAAAGAAAGAGAGAGAGAGAAAGGAAGGAAGGAGGGAAGGAGGGAGGGAGGGAGGGAAGGAAGGAACGAAGGAAGGAAGGAAGGAAGGAAGGAAGGAAAAAAAGATTGGAAGAAAGAGAAAGAAAGAAAATCTAAGAAAGAAAGAAAGAAAGAGAGAGAAAGAGGGAAAGAGGGAAAGAGAAAGAGAGAGAGAGAAAGAAAGAAAGAAAGAAAGAAAGAAAGAAAGGAAGGAAGGGAGAAAGAGAAAGAAAGAAAGAAAGGAAGGAAGGAAGGAAGGAAGGGAGAAAGAAGAG